TTTGAACTCGCCGAGATAAAAATGGTGAACGACTAAATATTTTAACCAATTCAGCCATTAAAGAGCAATTAAATCATCTCCAAAATTGAGAAATTAAAGTCGGTCGCGATATGTGGTTAAAAAAAGCTCCTCGTTTCACCGTTGACCGAGCAAAATTAAAAGAATTATCATTATGAAATTTACTGAATCACAAAAAATAGCAATCTTGCAGATCGTTAATAATCCCCAATTAACAGTCGCCCAAACTAAACTAGAATTAGTAAATATCCTACCCAATTTAACTCAACCACAAATCGAAGCTCTAACCGAAGTAATTTGTCACCAAATCGACCAATCAAAACGTGGTAAATTCAGTGGTATCACTGATTTAGAAGGTAAAAATTTTAAAGTTCGCTAAGTTGGGGAGTTTCTTTACTGGACTCTCCCCACAAAAGTCCAGTTTTTAAATAATAATCATCATGGCTCGCCCCAAAATATTTAGAACTCCGGAACAAATCAAAGCCTTACAAAAGTTGCAGAGAAAGAAATATAAAAAATATCAAGCCAACTATAACAAATATTATTATTTAAAAAAAATCTTAACTGACCCTAACTACAATAAAAATCGCTGAATAAAAGATAAAAATAGTCGGAATAATAAATTAAAGTCTGAATAATAATAATCTTTGTTTATACTTTTTACTGGTTTTTTGCTATAAAAAATCAAGGTGATGACAAATTATCTAGTAATGTAAAAAGTCTAGCAAATTATAAGTATGTTTTCGTATTTACCACCGCCTATCTCCATATTTAGATATAGTTATATATCTATGACCGAAAGAGGAGGAATAAAGACTAAAAGGTGAGGAATAAAAGTAACCTTTAAAAATGGAGTTTTAAATGAAAACCACTTTTCCTTTCATTACATTTTCATAATCTTTATTAGGAAATTCTGCTCGAAATTCCATTTTCGCCTCATCGCCCAAAACATCCCAACTAGGATATTCTAACTTGACTTTATTCTTTAGATTTTCATCTAAATAAATTATTCCTTTTTTTCAATCATAAGATATCTTTTTCAGTTTTTCAAAACCTTTTAAATCTATCGGCTGGTCTTTTACCTCAAAAGCAAAGGCAAAATTTATTTCTTTTAAAGTTTTTTTGCTTCCTCCGAAGTTAATTTTATCGAAATCAAGTTCTTCATTTGAAAAAAGGCTTAAATATTCAAGTTTTTGATTTTCGCTTAAATCCAATTCACTGAAATTATTATTGCTGATATCTAAGGTTTTTAATGCTGGATAACGAGTGAAATCGAAATTAAACAATCATTGTTCTGATAAGTCTAAAATGGTTATTTCTTCTTTTTCTTTTTTTTCATTATGGAGTTTAGCACCTGGTCAATCAGGAACATCTGTAAATACATCATGAATAATTCCGTCCAATCCCCTTTCTTCACTCTTAGTTCTAACCAAAGTAATTTTTTGTCCCCTTTCATAAGTTAAAACAAAAGAAGCATCAGTTTTATCTACCTTTTTTGGATTATTGAAATCATCAATAGCATTGTTCATTAAAACATAAGCTCTCAGTCCTAAAAATAAATTGTTAATATTGGCTAAACTTTGCCTAACTCCTCACTCCTCAGTAATAATATACTTACAAAAATCATCAGTGATAGTGTTGGCATAAGTTCTAGTTTTTTCATCTCCACTCAAAACCTTATTCGACACTTTTTTCATTAATGCTATTCTTCTTTCATAAGACAGAATGGGGATATTAATTATTGAACTACGAGACAATAAAAAAGGGTCAATTTTTTCAATATGATTGTCTGCGATAATGAAAACTGCTTGACTTAAATCCAACTTTCACTTTAATCAGTCATCTTCGAAAGAATAAGCATTTTGGTCAGGGTCAGTCATGGTTCCAATAATATCGGTTAAAGCTTTGCCTTTTGCCCTGGTCAACTCATCAATTAATACTATTGGTTGACTACTCCCTTTGTTTAACATTTCTTTCAATAATTTTCCTTGGTCAGCACCACCATAAGCGATTTCTCTACCCTTTAAATAAGTCGGTTCATCAATTCCGTTCATCGAAATTGAAATAAATTCTCTTTTAGACGCTTTTGCTGTCAATTTAGCAATAGCGCTTTTACCAGTTCCCGGCGGCCCTACTAAAATAAAAGATAAAGGTCTAAATGGAACATCGGTTGGATTTAGTAAATTTACAAAATAATTACCAACAATATTTTTATATTCTTCATAACCTTCTATTTCATCTAATGTTTCGAAAAAAAAATCCACGGTAGGTCTTTCATAAGTCTTTTCATAGATTTTGATAAGTTTTTCAGCCGCCTCCATTCTCTGTTCGTGTTTTTGTTTACTTTGTTGAGACATTTTTTTAACTTCTTTTTCTAATCTTCCTAAAAAGCGATAACTTCCTTCTAAATATCAAGTTGGTTTAACTGGTTTACCATCTTTTTTTCATTTGATTATATTCTTCCTCGCTAATGTCTCTTAAACTTTCATCATCCAAAGGTTTTCCAGTTTTCGGATCAATTTCTATTTCTTCTTCTGTTCTTTTACTTTTTCATTTATAATCCT